AACTCACAACAATTAAATGAGATGAAATTCTCTGTAGTTGGTACAACTACTTATTTGTTTCCAAGTTCAATTGGAAAGTTTAACGAGCTTATAAATGTGGGGATGGAAAAGATGACATTCTTTAAGATGACAATATGCCCAAACAAGGTCTCAGTGACACATTTTTTATTCCTTTAATTTGAATTTTGCCAAATTACAAATGTCAAAGAAGGCTTGCCAGAGCCACATGATTGCCCCTCTTCATTTATTCAGAAATTAGGCTTAATTTCTGTTTTCTCATACTTCAGTCTGAATAAAATGGAAATAGAGTCTAAGATGGGAGTGAAGAGGGGCTAGTTCTTCTAAATCATTGTGTCCTAGTAAAGTTCTGCAGGAAAAAGGACAACAAAATGTACAGTCATATTTAAAGAGAGGATATAATGCATGGTATCAGGAAAGGAAAAACAAAGAAAAAATAAACTAAGTCCTAGAAATCAGGCTCTGTGCATAGGTTTACATCTAGATCTGTTGTGTCTCATATCTATTTTTCTAATTAAAGATGAATTACTGCAATTGATTTTGCTGTTAGGGGAACATCACAAGTCATGGACTCATTTCAGCTGGCTCTGGAAGCTTCTGGGTCATATTGCAAGAACCCCAGAAAGTCATGGTATTGGGAATTCTGTGTCTGTGAGCCAACCCTCTGACTAGGTTTCTCACTATGAATTGGCATCAGCACTGAGTGAAACTAGGCCAGAACGTAAAATCAGGCAGTGTACCAGTGCAGGCAGGGAAAGTGTTAAGAACACTCAAATCCAACACATCCAGAGTGTCTTCCTTGAAGCCTGACCAGGCAACCTGAAAATCACCCAGAAAGCCAGGGGATAACAAACAGATGGTATGGAAAAGAACATGAACAGTAAGAGTATTTACCTGTCAGTAGATCATGCTGCAGTATCTCCTGAGGCCTGGGAACACAGGGCTTCCCCATTTTCTCCTATGACACTTTGCCCTCTGAAAAGGACTTTGTGAGTACAGGGTTGCAGTGAGGAGGCCAGGTTTGGATGGGAAAGCCCCGCTGAGAGGAGCCAGGTGTAGATTTCAGGAATGGGTACGATCAGTTACAGGTAGTTGCTCAGGAAAAGAGCATTTGTGGAAAGCCAAGGAGGACATAGTGTAGACAAAAGAGACGTGATAAACCTGAAGAGCATCCCCAGGTGAGACTTGAAATATCATACACAACTTAAAGCAGAAAATCCTTATAAAGGCAAAAATATCTACTTACTCCCTAGGCAATAAGTCTAGGGATATTTTGCCCATTTTTAAACTGGATTGTTTGTCTTCCTATTATTGAGTAATAAGAGATTCTTATATATTATAGACACAAGTCTATTGTTGAGTATGTATTTTGCAGATTTTTTCCCCAGAATGTGCCCTTTTTTTTTTCATTTTCATAATGGTCTTGAAGATTAAACATTGTTAATTTGGATGAAGTTCATTTTATTGATTTAAAAATTTTCAGACCTTGTATCTTTTATGTTATAGTTAAGAAATCTTTGTCAAATCCATAATTAATAAGATTTTCTTCTTCATTTTCTTCTAGTAGTTTCATAGCATGAAATAATATATTAAGATCTACTATTCTTCATAAATTTATATTTGAATAAGGCATAAAGTTAGGGTCAAGGTTCATTTCAGTGGAAATGGCTATCCTCTTGTGACAATGTCATTTTTTGAAAATACCCTTTTCCCATTTAATGCCTTGGCATCTGTATCAAAAATGAACTGGCCACATATGTTTGCATATATTTCTGGACTTTTTTGTTCCATTGATTTATCTGCCATAAATAGGCCAATACCACCTTGCCTTGATTACTATAGTTTTATGTTAAGTCTTGGACTAAAGTAGTTTGACCACTTTAGTTTTGCTCTCTTTGTTATGAAAAAGTTGTTTTGCTACTCCAGATCCTTTGTGTTTCCATATTACATTTAGAATCTTCTTGTTGATTTCTACAACAGCAAAATGCCTCCTGAGACTTCAAATAGAATTTCACTCAGTCTATCCCTCAACTTGAGGAGAAGTAACATCTTAATAATAATGAATCTTTTAATTCATAAATTTGATATATCTCTCCAATGATTTAGGCTTCTTTAAATGTATGGTGGATTTCAGTGTATAGACCTTGTGTATCTTTTGCCAAACTTACCTCTTTGTACTTTATGTATTTTGATGCTTCTGTAAGTGATACTTTCATTTCAATTTCTGATTATTTCTGGCTATTAAATAGACATGCATTTAATTTTTGTATTGTCTACCCTGGAACTTTCTACCCTGAAAACTTACTAAGCTTATTTATTGTTTACATTAGCTCTTTGTAGATTCCATCAGCTTTTCTGCATAAATGATCATATAGTTTGAGAACAAAGGTGATTTTCCTTCTACTTTCCTAAACTGAATGACTTTAATTTCTATTTTTGCCTTATTCCATTAACTAAGCCTCCAGTACAATGTTAAATAGAAGTGGTAAGAGTAGATTTTTCTGCTGTATCCTTCATCTTAAGGGAAAAGCATTCTGTCTTTTACAATTAGGTAGATTATTTATAGATACTCTTTATCAGGATGAAGAGATTCCCTTCTATTCTTAGTTTTTGAAAGACATAATGAAGAATGAATATTAGACTCTGTTAAGTAATTTTTTTAATTAATTTTTATTGGTGTTCAATTTACCAACATACAGAATAACACCCAGTGCTCATCCCGTCAAGTGTCCCCCTCAGTGCCCGTCACCCATTCACCCCCACCCCCCGCCCTCCTCCCCCTCCACCACCCCTAGTTCATTTCCCAGAGTTAGAAGTCTTTATGTTCTGTCTCCCTTTCTGATATTTCCCACACATTTCTTCTCCCTTCCCTTATATTCCCTTTCACTATTATTCACATTCCCCAAATGAATGAGAACATACACTGTTTGTCCTTCTCCGATTGACTTACTTCACTCAGCATAATACCCTCCAGTTCCTCCTTCTAATCTGATAATTAAATAATTTTTTCCTGACTGTTAAAATTGCGAATCACATTGATTAATGTTAAAATATTAAACCAGCCTTGTATTCCTTGTATAAACCCCACTTGAGCATGATGTATCATTTTTAATATCTTATTGGATTTGATTTCCTAAAATTTTGTTAAGAATTTTTCCTGTCAATCAGGGACATATGTAAATACATTGTTTTCTTTTTATGTCTTTGTCTGGTTTTGGCATAAAGGTAATGCTGGTATCACAGAATGAGTTGTAATGTGTTCCCTTCCCTTCAATTTTAAGAGATGAGAAGACCCCAAGATGATAGAAGACAATGGGATCCTGAGGAACTATTCTTTGACAAAAATATAGCACTTTCTCCAATTGAATCATTCTCTAAGTTTAGTGTGCATGCATATACCTGAAACATTCTTTTACATATTTTGATTTAGAAGGTCCAAAATGGATCCCATACCATGTTGGCATTAACAACAACATCAAAATCTCCCCTATTCTTACATGGTTGATGCATGTTCTAAGCATTTTTAGTCTATTCACTGGTTCTTAAAGTATGTTTCACAGACCAGCAGCATCAGAATCACCTTGGCACTTTTTTGGAACTTTTTTTTTAATGCAAATATTCTGTCCCCACTTAATACCTTGTTAATCAGTAACTCTAGGGGAGGAAGTAGGTGGCAATCTCAATCTGAATCCGCTGCACAGTAAAGTTTGAGAATTACTGCACCATGTCAAGGAGAGAAACACGAAGAATAGATTCAGATGCAGTGAATTTTGTATATTTTGTGTTATAAATAGAGATGATTTATACAATATAGTTTTTTTTTTCTTTATAACATATTGGAGATCTGCACGTGAGGAAGAGTAAGTCAGATGTTTGAGTGGAGAAGGTATGACGAATCATTAGAAAAGTTGAGAAGCAGGCTGATGATGAGGTCATTAGTCGCTCTTAGATAGATGTCTACTTAAGCAGTGCCCTTGTCAACTTTTATTGATGCCCGTCTTCCTGATTGGATAATCTTCTCTCCCAATTCTGAGCTGCTCAAGGTAGAGGTATAGAGAAGGCAGTTTCTTGGATTTGTATGCAGTTATTCTGCCAAATGAGTAAAAGGGAAGGAGAAAGAGACACAGTAGTTGAGGATATTTGCAAGAGAGTGAATGACTGTAATCATGGATCATAGTCTCTCTGCTGTGTAAAGAAAGAAAATGAAGACAAGACGAGGATAATTAACAGATAGAAAGTTATGAGATATATAGATAAAAAGGTCTTGATGAGCTAGAAGAACTGTTTCTGTAGACATATTTCAGAAATGAGCTGAGAGTGTAAATGGTAATGGCTAAAAAGTGACATGCTTATTTTGAATTTTTGGTGTTTTTTTTTGTTTGCATGTGATAAGAAGCTGTAAGTTATGACCTTGGTAATAGTGGTTGAGATGACTGTGCCAGATCATTGGTTTTGAGGAAGTGAAGAATGGGTGAATAAATGTTCACATACATATTGAGTTTCTCTTTCATTAGTGATGTCAATCACAGTAGTGCATGGATGAATGGGAGACAGATAGTGGAGGACCGGATCATAAAATACAGTGACATCAGTATCACATGAAATAAATTGGAAGTTGTCACTGGGACAGGAAAGTTCTGGTGGACACATATTTGTTTCTCTTGAAGGTTATTTTGGGCCCCACCATAGTTTCAAAAACATGTCCCAGTATGTGCTAAATTTATGGAATGTCTTTTGATAATAAGAGTCATAATTGTGATACCCATGGATAAGTGTTTTTTTAACCATACATATATAAAAAATAACAACCCGCTAGCCTGTCAATGATTGCCAAGAAATTGAATCACAATAACTTCTTCGTGTTTTCCTATTCATGACAGGGACAAAAAAGTTTGCTTTGAAAAGCTCCTACCAACTCAAGTGCAAGGATGGAAATGGTGCCCTGCTAACACCTATTCTAATTCTGTTTTTCAAATTCACAGAGAGTGAAGAAGTTTATCAGAGGCAGGTGCTGTCAATTTCCTGTATCATCTTTGGAATTGTCATCGTGGGCATGTTCTGTGCAGCATTCTACTTCAAAAGCAAGTAAGACCATCTTTTTCAAATGTTAAAAGGTTACTTCTCAGAGAAAGCACTTTGTCTTTCTTTAACCTTACAGTCTCTGCTCCAGGCAGAGGGATCTTGGGCAAATGGGTCCATCAAACATCTATGAATGACTTAGGATCTCTTATGGACTGTGGGGAGTATATGCAGCATGTACATAGGTCTCTGTGTGTGTGTGTCTGTGTGAGTGTGTGTGGTTTATCTTTGGTGCACAGAGTGAAAATTCTTCCCTGTGATCATGAACACTATGTTCTTTCCAATTTTTGATTACCTTCCAAAAGTAAGGGCTCAGTGTCTGCCTGCCACTAAGGGGTTAACACTTCTGAACAGAGAGGTCTACTGCTGTAGACCTAAGTATTATAAAAAATATCTAGACTTTCCTGAAAAAAAAAAAAAGCAAACCACACTTTTCCTTTCATACTATTTCACCTGATACCCATAAAGGTTTCAGCCAAATATGAAATATGAATACTGTAAGATCTACTTTGGTTTGACAGTTGGCAAGCACATCTATACTTCCCTTGCTAAGAAATCGAAACCTCTGGGGTACCTGGCTGCTCAGTCAGAAGAGCCTGTGGCTCTTGATCTCCAGGGTTGTGAGTTTGAGTATTGGGTGTAGAAATTACTTAAGTAGATAAATATATAAACTTAAAAAAAATGAAACCTAAATGCTGATAAAGGTGCTTATTTTTAACTAATAAAGTATAATAAAATATCTACATATCTATATATACATACAAATATATTTATTCCAAATGAACCTTAATAAAGACTTTTTTTATTTATGGAAATTTTATTTAAGTCATGCGAGCCTTAAGAAGTTGGCACAGATTCTGTTCCTACAGCTTGTCTGAAATGCAAGTCCAAGTGTAACTGCTTTTCATTGGACCTATATTTGTCTACCCATTTGCTCTTCTAAAAATTGATCCATTTCCAGACGTAGTCTATGACACCTGTCTGCACATTGTATATGTTGATCTTAAAAAAGAACAGCAATTATTATTTTAAAAAATAATGGAAACTCGGGTATGAATCCATAATTAGTAACTATTATTTTTAATGAACTATTTCAGAATAGATTTAGATTTTCAGAATTCCTGTGAAAATAGTGTAGATAGATCCCACATATCCCAGACCCAGTTTCCCCTAATATGAATGTCTTACACTAATATGTTATATTTGTCACAATTACTGAAATAATATTCATACTCTATTACTAATTGAAGATCATACTTTCATATTCCCTTAGTTTTTACCTAATATGCTTTGTTCCAGGCCCCCATCTAGGATACCACATATTTAATTGTCATGTCTCCTAGGCAACTCTTGGCTGTGACAGTTATTAGTGTTCATTTTTGAGAACTTATTCTTTGTCAGGGACACTGGGCTTTGCATTCATTATTCCCCAATCCTCACAACAATGGGAATTGTTCATTATTGCTGCATTTTTCAAATAATAACAGAATTTAATTTTGAAATATTAATTTGTCAAAGCTATGCAGACAGGGTCTTTGAATTTCCACAGTCATACTCAAAATTGCATGCTCTAAACCACTCTGCTACATTGGCTCCCACAGTCCTCCCGCTAGATAATGGAAGGGGAAACCATTTAAGGTAAATCAAGAATACCATGGCCTGGTGCAGCCCTGAGTGCTTTGTGTGCTCTAGGGAGCAGATGCGGCATGTGGTCAGGAATTACACTTGTCACTCATACCTGCATTCAAATCACCAGGCTGCCTCTTGCTTGTTGCATATTATTAGGCAAATCACATCCAGTCCCTTAGCCTCGGTTTCCTTTTGGGTAAAATATGGCCCCAAATGATATCTACCTTATAGAATTTGTGGGGAATTAATGGGATAACACTATATAGAGCACAGCATCATGTTCCAAAGAGTAAATAATGAAGCCTTGCTGTTGTTAACACCTACGATTTTCCACACTAGATCTCAGAAGCTGGGTGACTGCAAAGTGAAGAGCATGCATTGGAGCACGAGAGGGATAATCATGCACGGCAGGGTGTTAGAAGGGTCTCTCCACAAGTGCTGTGTACAGGGAAGAAATTGTGTATTTAACAATAAGCAAATTACCATCAAGTGGTGGTTAATCACTTATTTTTAGAGTATAATTTGTAGTTGTACCACATTTAAGGGAAAGACTGATTATGACAATCACAAGAGCGGAGAGCCGTTGGATAACTAGAGGACCTCCATCTTCAGGGCTGTCAGTCTCTCCCTCTCCAGGCAGCACGTGAGCTCTGAGACAAACACCTCCTCCTGGGGCTCAGTGAGGTGTCCGGGTTTAATGGAAACACTGCTCAACATCATTCATTATGGGCGACTCCGACAAGGGAGCCAGGGGACGAACACTAACCAGGATGTTGTCTTTCTGCCTGCCCAGCTGGGACAGGTTTTTATTAAAAATTAAATAAATAAGAAAATGTGGGAATAATAAAGTAATAATAAGAATTGAAGCCTTTTCCAAGTGGAGTTCTATTTCTCATTAGAGAGCCAGAGTGTATTTTCTTCTAGCACAATTTCCAGGTGAGGTCTTCCTTTATTTTTCTTAGCCTGAGAGGAAGGCTACACCTTACACCGAGCATCTAATCTATTTAGCTGAAAGTCATGTAAAGTTTTAAAGCACCCTGGCCTATGTTTCTTTTCACTCACTCATGGACTTTCTAATTCCCATCCCCAGATCTCAGTGATAACAGCATAGACAGCCACTGTCTCGACGTTTCCTTACTTTCACACATACTATAAAGTTGTTAATATGTGTATAATTTGTTTGACTCCATTTTGCCAAGTCTTCCAGGATTCTGGGGACTCTCCATCACTGGTTTTTAAATAAATGCACTTGAGCCAGCATTCTATATTCTGGGATATACTGTTCCTAGCCAGAGAAAGTCAGGAGTTACCCACAAGCTGACATTCCCTTGGATCATTGATTATTTCAGTTCCTATAATTCCTCAGATCCTGCCACTCTCGTCTGTTGTCCTGTGACCCTTACTATGACATGACCTTGCCACAGGGACTATTACAGCACATCGCCAGCAGATGAGAGTTTGAAGGTGGATAGCATGATGAGGTGCAAGTGATCAACACCTTCTTGGATTGAGAGGATTTCCTGAGTTAATTGAGCCTCCACAATGCTAAAGGACACGATGAAAGCAATCCTCCTCTCATCACTTCCAATAAGCCCTTATATTCCCATAAGAGGTTAATGGGACTATTAGTTGAGCTATTCAGATCAGGCTGATGGGGCTCATGTGGCAACTCTTCTAGGTTTCTTCTTGCTTTCAACTCATATGGGAAAGAAGTGTGAGGCTGCCTGTAGGAGTCCTTAGTAGACTTCAGAAGGGCAATACAAGTCAGCTCGAAAAAAAAAGAATTGGGATAGGACAGGAGATGTTCCAGGAGGCAAAAGCCAGGACAAATAGTGATCACGACTGGGGGGAAAAAAAGCAGAAGAACAAAAAGGAAAACTGGTGCACCCAGTAAAAGTCAGTCCTGACTGACTTCAGCCCAAGCACAGCCCTTCAAAGACGGGCAGCGGATGCTGTGATTTGCAGCTTCAGTTCTCTTGAGCAGTGAAGATCTTAGTCCTCCAGTGGCTAAAACAAATATGATAAAAGTTGCCTTGCTCTGACCTGAGATAGCCCACCTCCCATGACAGGTCAGTGTGAGGTTCTGAAGCCCAGGCCTCTGCCGGAACCCAGGGGGCAAGGCCGTCCAGCTTCAGAGCGCCTCCATGGGATTTGCAGAGTTCTCCGCTGAGACTGCATTATGTTCCAGTTTCTCCATTGGCCCAGTTCTGCTCCCCTTCCAGTGCCTTCATGGGGGTTGCCTCCCCTGATAAAAACCTCTCATGTGTCTCCCCTGAGTGCCTGCTTCCCCCGGAGCCCGCCTGCCACATTACCCATCACGCCCACCAGTGCACCTGTGATGCCTGATGCTCCCCCACTGACATGTCAGTCCGTTCTGATGAACTGGGCCAGAGAAACTTAATACTCAGTGAACTATAAAATATCACCCCTGACATTGTTAGGCTCGTAGGGTGCCAGTGTGCAGCACCCATGTCTGCTCTTTCCCAGAGCAGCAGCTCTTTGAGGGACATAATGGAATTGCAACCCGAAGCTTCTCACGTCCTGGTTCCCATCTGCTGGGTGAAGGAGGAAAGAGCAAAAATAGGTGTGTTTGGAATGGGGTCGGGATGATGGAGGAGGAGGACGGTTCTGAAAGGAGAGCCCGTTTATCTCTGGGATATCAGTGAGTCGGGACTTAAGTGCAAAGCCAGGAAAGGAAAGCAAGTCATACAAGGATTTAGGAAATTGCATTCACACATTTTTACGAGGAAAGTTCCTTTAGCAGTTGGCGTTTCCCAGACACTGAATTATAGAATTACTGAAAAGATAGTTACTGTTCCTACTATCTAATCCTTAGGAGAGTAACGGGGTCCTTCCTCTGTGCCAAGCCCCCTTTTACCACCTCACGATGATTTCCTCGGGTGGAACCTCCTGATCTCCTATTTCCTTCATCAGGGGGATTTTGTGGTATAATGTGCTTCATAAAATGCTGACAGGATAGATTTATTTTTAACAAAAGGCTACAGATTAGCTGTTAGGAAACAGGTTATTACAACTGGATTAAAGCAACCAAAAGTACTGGGGATAATAACTCCCCAAACAATTGAGAAGATACAGGAAATTTTTAAACACACAGAGCTACATCATTGTTGCTGCAAATTCAAAAGAGTTAATGATGTGGGATCCCTGGGTGGCGTAGTGGTTTAGTGCCTGCCTTTGGCCCAGGGCGCGATCCTGGAGACCCAGGATCGAATCCCACGTCGGGCTCCCGGTGCATGGAGCCTGCTTCTCCCTCTGCCTGTGTCTCTGCCTCTCTCTCTCTCTCTCTCTCTCTCTCTCTCTGTGTGTGTGTGTGTGTGTGTGTGTGTGACTATCATAAATAAATAAATAAATAAAAATTAAAAAAAAGAGTTAATGATGCTCAGAGCTCCCAAATCTGGCAGCAGACACTCATGTGCTTGTGGGAGACGCAGTTAACACAATCCTTTATCTCTGAGCCCATGTTCTAATTCCTCTGTAGGATATGCCCCATTAGCAGTTGGCGCTCGCTGGATGTCAAGAGGGGGAGCAGACCAACCCTTTACAGGTGTCCTCACGTTCAGTTCCCACGGCATCCACGGAAGTTAGCTTCTCCAATGAGAATGTATATGATGTTCAAGCAACCCCGGGCACAGATGAGGAAACCGAGGCTCAGGAAGCTTTAGCAAAAACAATCTTTTTGATTTAGGGATTCAAAGCAGACGTGGTGGGTGGCAGACTGGGATTCAAATCCCAGCCCCTCTGATACCCAAGCCCATTCTCAGGAAGAGCTCCCTGCGGAAGCCAGTGCACACGCTCCACCAAAGGCTGTGTCCTTGTCCTTGACAGGAATCTTGTGGGAAGAGGTAAATGTTTGGGGTGGGTGGAATGGTTCTGCAGTGTGTGTGTGTGTGTGTGTGTGTGTGTGTGTGTATGGGCACTGAGTCTTCAGCTGGTAGATAATTACTGTAAAGCCCTTGGAAGAGAGCAGTTAATAAGGCAGTGATGCGTTGCCTCCTTCGAGTATAGCCCCTGTGTGACTTAAACAAAGTCACTCCACATATACAGTCAAGAGCACTTTACTCAGAGTCCAAAATGCAAGAACAGTCTCAGCCTTCCCACTGAAAAGCTGTGGGCATATGGGCAAGTGGTTTGATAGTCCCAAATGGTGCAGGGTATGCAGCCTGATGGGCTGGGTTCAAATTCAGCCCCACCACTGACTAGCGATGTGACTCTGGGGAAATTATTTAACCTCTCTGTGCCTCAGTTTCATCCTATATTAAATGAGTATATTAAATGAGTAAATTAAAAAAATGAGTAAATTCTCATCATTGAGAATTATGAAGAATAAGTGAGTTGATACATGGAAAAAACTTAAAATGACACTCGACACATAGTAGGAATTCTTGCAGGAGTTAACGATTTTTTATTATTATTTACAAAGTAGAAATAAAAGTCTTTTCATTCAGGGCTAATGGTAACAATAAATGAGCTATTTCTAAATTGAGGAAGAGGAAGTATACACATTATAGATGTATGTATGTTTTTCCCACTGATTACTTCAGAGCATTTCTATTTCTTTACAGCTGAGCACTCAGGGTCAGGGACCTCTTGCATCCCTGGAGGCCAGGACAGCGTATCATGCTTCTGTCTGCCTTTGGTGCACAATTGGGTGTGAATACCTGAATGTTGATGGATAAAATCAGCTTCTTTCCAGATTAGAAGTTATCTAATGGGGTTGGTGGATTGAACATGGAGGAAGGATTTTCTTTGTTAACTGAGTTTTCCAGCTTTCAACACATGACAAATACAGATGTTGGGAATGAGTGAACCCCCGAAATATGAGTCGAATAAACTGATGTAACTATTTATGCATTTGTTTATTTAACCCTGCAGGAAACAAGCTAAACAAATCCAAGAGCAGCTGAAAGAACCACAAAGTGGTAAAAACTACAGCCTCAAGGCATCCAGCACAATGACAAAGTCAGAGAGCTTGGTGAAGAACCATGTCCAGCTGCAAAGCGTAAGTTACTTGTCTACACATCTCTTCCCACAGCCCACCTCAGGACTCAGAGGGGATGGGGAGCTGGGGATCAGACTTGTATATATTTTTTTCAATACTTTAGATTTTTCCTTAAATCATCGTGCGAGTGTGTGTGTGTGTGTGTGTGTGCACATGCACATATACAGGATGAAACTGAAAAATTAAACCTCAGCTTTAGATTACCATCTGCAATATAAATCGATCTCTGGAAGCCAAAAGTGCTTCAGTTGTTTTGTTCCGCATTGACTTACTACATTCTTACTCTGTGTGGAAAATTGTGCTGGGCACCAGGGGTATAATGCTCCCTACCTTATGGGAACTTATCTGTGGTAAGAGATACAGACACCAGAAGACAGGGGGTATGTGGCCTGAGATGGATGACATTGCCATTGGTTGAAGAAGGGACCAAAGGGAGGGGGATGAGTGAATGCCTCATCAGGTAGTCAAAGAGCAAAGGATAAAAAGAGTAGGAAAAACAGAAAAATGATGAAGCTATGGAATCCTGAGAATGTATATGATGTTCAAGCAACTCCTAGGTAAGTGGTGTGAGAGATGTCAAAGGTAAGACGGGTGGGAAGGGAGAGTTGTATTGCCAGCATCAGTGTTTCCTGAGACTGGACCTTGAATAGGTACCAGAACTTGAAATGCAAGCTCTTTGAATCTCACGTTCTTTCTAAAAGTTGTTTTAATCATTTCTGAGATGTATCACAAAACACTTAATTAAAGACAATAAATATCATCCAAGACATACTGAAATATTCCTCTCAGGGTAGCAATCCTTTGCCCTCATACAAGATTGCACTTCCAGATTCTGAGACACAAAAGGAAGGAACAAAGGCCATGGTATAAGCGTTGTATTTGAGTATAATAGACAATCACCCAGGACATATTCATGGCCCCCCAAATCACTGGGAATTTATACATCATTTGTGATTCTAAAACATCATTACCCAGAAAGTTGCCATTTGCTATGCATAACAGATGTACTTAGATGTTTAGTGTGGAATTCATAAATCAGAATTGCTTCCCAGCTAAGTTTTGTTCGACGTGTAATCATAGTTATGTGGGGACTGTTCTTTTCTGTAACAGAAGGAATGCTTTTGCTAATGACTTCTGAGTGTTATCTCACCACCTGAACAGCAGTGCGGTGATGAGGGGTCTCGATGCCTTTGCAGCTGGACCTGCTGAGCATAATCAAAGCCAGCCGCTCGTTAAGGTAGTAAGGACAGATTTTAACCAGTAATGCATTATTGCATTAGAGGAGAAAGTCCAGCACGACCTGAACTGGACTTCAGTTTGTACAGAGGTGATGGCTGCGTTAAAGATAGAAGGAAGGACTAGGGCCAGGAAGCAGCAGAGTCTTGGAAGAGTCAGAGAAGTGAAAAACCACAGAGCTGGTCAGGCACACGCCAGCTGTGTGTTAGCAGGCGACCAATGGAGCGGAGGGCTCTGCACCTCCACAGACATGGGAAGACAGAGATCCAATCCTTCCTAATTCCATGTCAAGGATTTGGCTTTCAGGTCCCTGAGAAAGAAACCCCTGAGTTGGAGGAGAGACATAGATATCTCAAAATGACCAGGGGCAGTTTATGGTTACAAGCCCCTTTTAAGTAAATGCTCTAAGAAGGGGAGGCCAGGGGCCTTTCCTTGGGGATTGAACAAACTCAATTCTTTTGGAGGCTTTGAGGTTTTTCATTTTTGTTTTTGTTTTTCAGGAAGGCATTTTAAGGAAGGTTAGGGTCATTCTAGACTTGAACTATTAGAGGCTATTAAGAAAAAGCAGGAGAGACTATATTAGAGTAAACTCAAGTCTTGTAGTGTGGGGATGAGCGAACCAAGTCATTCGTGCAGCGGATCTACGGTTGTTATAGGCCAAAGTTAAGGCCCCGGAGAAAAGAAGGCTCAGGGGAGCCTATTAAATTAAATTAAATTAAATTCATTAAATTCATTTGTCTAGTGTTGGTTGGAAGAGTCTCAGTCAGTCCCTATGTATTTTACAGGGTTGCAGGCAAAACACACATACAGTTTTGTATCCTTTGTTTTCACCAAACAGATGATCAATAGCATTTTCTGATTTTTGCTCTCCACACAGTCCTTTGGGAGATAGCATAATTGTCCCCAAAGTGGCCATTTTGCCATCCTCAGCCTTCCCTCCTCATAGGCATCTCTGTTCTCTCCTCTTACTTACTCTGAAAGGGATATGAAAATAAATTCCTCACTCCTGTGCTTCCCACCCTTCAATTGGTTGGAATCATTAGGATTCCAATAACAAGAAATTACAAAGTGTAGGGGTTCTGACACTTGGAAGATTTGGAGGCACATTGGATTTTCTTTTCTTTTTCTTTCCCTCTCTTCCCCTTTCCAGCCAAGCCATACCCACATTTTGTATGTTGGCCAGGGAAGCAGAGGTGGGCTCAACTGGGATCATTCCACAGGGCCCTAGATGAAGTATGGAAAAGTGTATTTTCATATTTCTCCTGTTTGGGATAGAGAGAGTGGATATAAGACTTTTTTTTTTTTCTAAGTTGGGGTGTGGTCAACTAAGACAATACATTTCAAGGGACCATCATTTTAGGCTGGGATGGAAGTTCAGGCCGAGAATAGATAGTGAAGAAAGGCATAGAAGGACCCTGAAAAAAGAATGAGGTGCATTCAGGGGACGCATGCATGCTAGCCATAGCATCCTACCTTGGCCAGCTTGGGCCCAAGGGACGGCCTAGCGTGTCCCTTTAACCAGACGAGACTGGAATAAATACATTGCTTTCCCACAGGCACAAACCCATTTCAGTGCTAGAAAGCAACATGGGTCACTACCAGCTTTGTTATACTTTTGTCAACATTTATTTTGCTAATTTAATAGAACATGGCATTTTTAGAAATTTTACATTTAACTATTTGAATCTGTTGTAGAGTCTCAGTCCATATATTTCTAGTCAAATGTTCAGTTTGGTCCTGCTGATACTCTTGCTCATACTTTTGTTACAAGACTCAAATCAGAATTTGACTGTAGTGTTTCCTGTCATATAATATGGGAGAAGACAGTAATGGAGAAGGTGTGTCAATAATACATCAAAGAGGAAGAGAATCTTGTAATAATGTCTGCTTTCCCTCAACATTATGTTTAAGATATACAAGGAGACATATACAGGACATCCATGCAGCCGGAGGCCAGGTCGCACTGGCCTGAGGGCAACCAGTAATCTGATGTGTGCCTCACAATTTCTGCATGAATCTTGAAGAAAGCAAATGTATGGAAGAAAGTTTGGTAAAGTGGTTTTTCTTTGTAGGTCTGTATCTCTTTCTTCCGGCCAGATCTATGAGGACCTACCAATGTCAATGTTAGCAAGCAAACAGTGATAAATGAAATAGCGAACGTTGTAATAGCAAATAACATGTACTGAGTACACACAGAGAATCATGCTAAATGACATGAAGACAGTGCCTGACTTCATCCCAACAACAACTACTCAGTTTACACTCACGATGTGCAGAAGAGGGAACTGGGACTCAAAGCTTGAGAAAGTTTCTGTCAGAACAGTTGAGTAGCAGAAAGCCAAACTCATGTCCTTATAACTCAGTGAGTCAATGGAGGGCAGTGTTGCCCCAGAGAACTTTAGGCAAAAGTCTGGTGAGAGACTTTGGGTGTTTACAGGACTTGAGGGGCATCTCTGAGCAGAAGGCTCAGAAGTGCTGATACATATTCCACAAGGTACAGGATAGCCACCCCCAACAAAAAATTGTCCTCAAAGGTCAAGAGTAGTGAGGAAAACCAGAGGCCAAGCTCAAGTTGCATAGCATGTCCACTAGGAAACTCTGAGTGTCCAGCATAGGCGTTCTATCATTATTTCTACAACACAGAAGGTGATGGGTTATCCATGTAGACTCTAGACCTTGGGAGGGAAATTTTCCACTTGCACACCACATGAGGTATATCTGTCTCTATTTTATCTTGGAGTCCAGGTTAACTACTTGAAATTCTTGGCAAATTACAGCATTTAACAAATGAATTGTCTGCGTCTAGCATTCCCTTACGTTCATTAAACATTCATGGGGAAGGGTTTCACTTGACAGTCGTTTAACAAGATGTGAAACACCTCGTCCAGTGAAGCAACATGATGATCTGGAAACACTTGACTCAGAGGCTGCAGAGCTGGCCGTGCCGTAGAAGCATCTAGCGCTTTACCGTCATGTACAAAAGAAGCATTTGTGGCTCAGAGTGATGAACTGACCTCATTTACTGTGTCCTGGGTGACAGAGAAAGCTGGAGTTTGCCTTATAACCTGCAGACTGACACTTCTCAGCCTGATTCAGGGATCAGAGAGAGAAGTCATTGAAGGAGACATGATCCATTCTCTCTTAAGATCAAAAGGAAATATCCATGAGTGAAAAGTAAGGGAATAAAATTACCCTTTCCACCCTTTTTTCAAGAACTTCTCAGGAAGGATAGGTTTATGAAAGTAGTAGTCAATGAGGAAGAATTGGAAGACAGTATTTGCCTGCATAAGGGGAGTAGTAAGACTTGAATGCCTAACACCGCCTGGATAATGGGTAGAAAGAAGCATCCATTTATTCTGTACTTATTGAACACGTCTCTATGCCGGGCTCTGTAGGAAGAGCTTACAGAATACAAAGAAGAGACAGATCCTGACCTCAGGGGGCTCACGGGCCAGTGATAGGAACAAGTATGTAAGCACATACAGCACTTGTTCTGTAACGTAGGTCTGTTAAGTCACGGTGCTATCAGAGAATGGAGAGGGACAGTTGTCTGGGGGAACACTGGATCTCACCCACAGTAGATGACATACACACAAAGTCTTGGGAGTGAGGTGGGGTTTGTGGGATAGCCATAAGGGAGCTGGTCAGGAGAGGTAATTTCTTGATAGCATGAATCAGTGTTAACTTTGAATAATTCTGGTTTAAAACCCGATCTCTTGTTTTACATATCAAATTCTGACTTACTGATTCACTAAAGATCCCCA